AAACCAATTGTTTTTGTGAACGAAATAAACAGACATTTGTTTTGTTGAATGATTTGCACTCAAAATACATGACATTTAGAGATATTCCAAGCCATGGATCAGTTGGCAATACAGACATACATTACAAGACTCGAGACACAACTCTTTTACCGCCAAAGAGATCAACGAGTGATACAAATGAAGACATCGTTAGACCCGATGACGGATCAGTTGAAGACATTAACGGTTCAGACAATGAACAAAGAGATGCAAATGAGATCTCTTATGAAATCGATACCAAACCACTCATTACTGATCACCTGATGTCTGGAACCGACAACAGATGTAATACTACTTGCGGTCAATCTTTTGAGTCCAATGAAGATCTCGGGCCACACGTGCGGACACACGTGACCGACGATCACATCCAGACACTGATTGCTAGAAAACCAAAGTTTCGGTTCAATTGTTTGGCCGAAGAATGCGATCACAAGTTCTTCGCGAAGACATCACTCATTGAACACATGAATAATAAACACAAAATGCAAAACATATACGAATGCGAAGATTGCGATGCCGTGTGTCTGACCACCGATGAGATCATTGGACACCGACATCGAGAGCATGAGGTGAAGACACTTGTGTGCACTCGTGAGTCATGCGAAGAAAGTTTTACCGAAGAAACAGCTCTCAAGCGACACATTCAAGACATTCACACAAACAGTTGTGAACAAAGTTTTGGTGCATTTAACGGATCCGATGGTGTGATCGCAGAGGGTGTCTGTGACGATGATAGTGATGGCCACATACCGTTCAAATGTCCGGTCATTGGCTGTGGCTTTCAATGCGAACGTCTGAATCAGATGAAGACACATATGAGTGGACACATCGGTAATCAACAGGTCGTCCAATCGAAGCCATCGCCCCTTAGAAGCGCTCAAAAACGTGGATCAATGGCCACAACGCGTGGCCGACGAGCGAATGTCAACAGTTCCAGAGGTCCACCGCTAAAGAAGTCGCATAACAGACAGCGAATCAATTGCACTATCAATGGATGTCGTTATTCATCTATATATCGTTATCTGATGACCAAACATATGTATACCGCTCACGAGTCGAGTGACTACGATAGCGAAGATAGTGAAGAAGAGCCGACCAAAACTGGTCGTTCACGCGGTGGCCGACCGGCCAATGATAAGCGTAAACCAGTTAAGTGCGATTACAAGGGATGCGACAAAACATTCACGGCGTTGGAAATGTTACGAAGACATCAGTCGACGCACTCGACGGACAAACGATTCAAATGCACAGTCAATGGCTGCGGGTATTCGTGTCCAACTAAATGCCTATTTGATGCCCATATGTACAGACATCGGGGTATTACACCTTTTAAATGCACTCATGGGGGCTGTGGTAAGGGTTTTACCCGCAAATATCACTTACAACGGCACTCAGTTAAGGTGCACGCACTGCCCCACCGCAAGGGTAGCCGTAGGGGTGGCCAACTCGCACGTGGACACCGACATCGAGAGCATGAGATGAAGACATTTGTGTGCACTCATGAGTCCTGTGGCAAGAGTTTCGCCGAAGAAACAGCTTTCAAGCGACACATTCAAGACATTCACACATCCAGTTGTGAACAAAGTTTTGGTGGATTTAGTGGATCCGATGGTGTGATCGCAGAGGATGTCTGCGATGATAGTGATGGCCACATACCGTTCAAATGTCCGGTCATTGGCTGCGACTTTCAATGCGAACGTCTGAATCAGATGAAGACACATATGAGTGGACACATCGGTAATCAACTGGTCGTTGAATCGAAGCCATCGCCAGTGAAAAGCACTCATAAATTGGGATCAATGACCGCAACGCGTGACCGACCAGCGAATGTCAACAGTTCCAGAGGCCGGTGGCCAAAGAAGTCGCATAACAGACAGCGAATCAATTGCACTGTCGATGGATGCGGTTATTCGTGTATATATCGGTATCTGATGAACGAACACATGTTTACCGCTCACAAGTCGAGTGACAGCGAAGATAGTGACGAAGAGTTGACCACAACTGGTGGTTCGCGCGGCGGCCGACCGGCCATTGATAAGCGTAAACCAATTAAGTGCGATTACAAGGGATGCGACAAAACATTTAGTAGTGACACGGCGTTCACAACGTTGCGAAGACATCGGTTGACGCACTCGACTCAACTCACGGACAAACAATTCAAATGCACAGTCAATGGCTGCGGGTATTCAAGTTTCAAACGATCTAAATATGAGGCCCATGTGAACAGCCATCGGGGTATTAAACCTTTTAAATGCACTCATGAGGGCTGTGGTAAGGGTTTTATCCTTAAAAATCACTTAAAACGGCACTCATTGAAGCAGCACTCGTAGGGGTGGCCAACTCGTACATGTGTAGTGCACTTTTGCTCTAAATAGTGGACAGATTTTTATCATGTTTTTATATCAATTCTATTTTGTTCACTAAATTTATTCTCAAATTTATAACTAATTGTATTAATTAATTAAATTGAAATTTTTAAGTAATTTTACTTAACTTTTTATATTTTGGACGTAATCTATGGTCAATTCCCAGATCACAAAAGTCATGCATTTGTTTACAAAACAATGGTTTGAATGAAATGTTTGATTGAATTGTGATTTAAATGACAATTGAATTAAAGTTTTGATGAATTAGTGGTAAAAATATGTGTGAATTAGTTATCAATGATTTGGTGGAAGAGTTGAGTGAAGAAAACCTCCGACTATTGAATGAGTTATTGGTTTTGAATCAATGCTTTCGTGTCTTCAATGAGTTTCACATATATTTGCAGAAAGTCTT